TTAAATATGACCCTAGCACGCTGCCTGGCTATCTCAGACTTAGGCATTTACTCAAGTGAAAAAAAATTCATGACCTAAAATAAACTGTATGTAAAATCTTTTTTAAGAGATCACAAAGTTGTTCATGATCCCGACACCCTTCACTTCACAAGTGTGAATTTTCCACCTCCACCACCAACAATGTCCTTAGTTTTCCTCCTTCCACACCCTAGCCTAGCCCCAACCAGGCAATACTTTCTCCTCCTCTCCCATCTCCTTCTCCCATCTCCTTCTCCTCCTCCTTCTCCTCCTCCTCCTCCTCCTCCTTCTCCTCCTTCTTCTCCTTCTCTTCTTCTTCTTCTTCTTCTTCTTCTTCTTCTTCTTCTTCTTCTTCTTCTTCTTCTTCTTCTTCTTCTTCTTCTTCTTCTTCTTCTCCTCCTCCTCCTCCTCCTCCTCCTCCTCCTCCTCCTCCTCCTCCTCCTCCTCCTCCTTTTCCTCCTCCTCCTCCTCCTCCTCCTCCTCCTTCTCTTCCTCTTCCTCCTCCTTCTTCCTTCTCCTCCTTTTCCTTCTTCACCTCCTAAATGTACTTTCAGCACTCAATTCTTGTCCATAGTGATCCAATTTCCAACTATCATTATTATAGTGGTCCCTTCTATATCCTAACTACCTTCTCTCCATCTCCCCACACTTGGGGCGAGTTTCCAACTCTGGGCCAGTCCTCCTAGTTTTCTTTTCTGCTGTCCTCGAGTAATGGTCTCATACTATGTTTTTTGTTTATATCCCACAGATAAAACCCAACTCCCGGAAGCTTATTATCTCGCTTTTACTTTGGAGAACCCGGCAGGCTACCGAAAGCATCCTGCCCGCACGCCAGAGTCTGGCAAACTTCCCGTGTCATACTCAATATGCCAAATACCAATAACAATGATGGGTCTCATTCTCCAACCCTGAAAGAGCATTGAATATCGCTCTTTTAAAATCTCAGTGCTAGGAAGGAGACGTTACTGGTGCCTGCTCGAGGCAATCAACGAACAACAGGATGATCGTGATCGTGATCCCACAGATAAAAGCAATCATTCTATCTGTCCCTCTCTTTTTGACTCACTTCACTTACTATGACTCTTCATGTCTATTCATTTATGAGAGAATTTCATGACTTCATTTTCCTCTAACAGCTGAGTAATGTAGATGTACTGTAGATTCTTTAACCAATCATCTGTTAATCCTCTGGGCACTCGGGTTGTTTCCAGACTCTGCCTATTGTGAATAGTGCTGCAATGAACTTAGCCCTGCAGATGGCATTTATGCTCTGAATTTTTGTGCCCTCAGGGTATTTTCCCAGAAGTGGTATTACTGGGTCATATGGAAGCTCAATTTCTAGTGTTTTGAGGAATGTTTATATTGTTTTCCAAAGAGACTGGATCAGTCAACATTTCTGCTAACAATGAACAAGAGTCCCTTTCTCCCCACATTCATGCCAGCACTGTTTGTTCTACTTTTTGATGTGCTCCAGTCTCTGTGGTATGAGATGTTATCTCATTATTTTGATTTGCATCTCCCTGATGATTTGTGGTGCAGAGCATTTTTTATGTGCCTTTTGACCATTTGTATTTCTTCTTTGAAGAAGGTTCTGTTTACTTCTTCTCCCCATTTTTTGATGTGGTTGGGTGTTTTTATCTTTTAATTTTTTACCAGTGACTTATATAGCTTAGATATCAATCCCTTATTAGATAGATTTTGGGTAAATAAAATTTCCTAATTCATTGGCTCTCTTTGTATCTTGGTCACTCTTACTTTTGAGGTGCAGAAACTTATTAGCAAATGTAGCCCCATTTGTTATATTTTGGATGTAAACTCTTATAGTTAACTCATCATTGCCGCAAAATCCTCTGGATAAGCCAAAAGAAAAACATAAATTTTACATACACAGTACAATACTGTGTATGTAAAAGAAATGGAGTTTTTTTCCTATGCAATAAAAAAGAATGAAGTATTTTCCCGTGCAGCAACATGGAAGAATCGCAAAAGCACTATGCCAAGTAAAAGAACAGATTTTTAGAGCCTACATCTTTTATAGCATTCAGGACAAAACAAAATCATGGTACCATAAAACAGGTGATTAGGAGCATGGACTAGGAGAGCAGCTGACCTTTAAGGGACAAAAGAGATTATTTTGGGTCTCATACTATGTCTTGTGATATAGGCTATCTGATGATTCTTTTCTTATAATTCATGAAACAATATATCAAAAAGGATACATTTCATGGTATACAAGATGTATACCAAGAAGGGAGGTTTTTTCAAAGAGGGTATGGGAATTATGAATATTTTTCATTATCCTTTTATTTGATAGTTGGTTCTTGTCTGATCATCCTTCAAAAAAGTAAATAGTTTGTGTCAAATGTATTCTGGGTTTGGTAGTTCAATGGTGAACAAAGTAGATATGAGTTGACTTCATAGAATTACTTGCAATAAAATTTAAAAAGTGAAACAAAATTCTGTATTTTCCATCTTGGAATAAATAGAAACCATAACTACGAGAGACAAAAGCACTATGGGAGGGTTTTAGAAGAGAATTTTAGAGAAATGGGACAACTATGCAAAACCAGATCCATAATACTCATCCATCAGGTTGGTCCTGTGATTTCTCCCCAAATTTCAGTCTGTTTCTATGGTAGATTTCCAGGAGTAATGCATTACAAATGTGTGGAAGAGTGAAAAATCGCTGAGGAGAAAATATTGTATATTTATTAAGATTTTTTTTCTGGGTCATGCCTGGCTGTGCTCAAGGCTTACTTGCGGATATGTTCTAAAGAATCATTCCTTGCCAGGGCTTGAGCCATTCGTGGTATTGTGCCGAGAGTTGAATCCAGGTTATCTACCTTCAAGGCAAGCCTCCTACCTGCTGTACTATCACTCCCGCCCTAGAGAAAATATTTAAGAGTAAGGAAGAGTTGTGATTAAAAGGTAAATCCAATCTAGGAGAACTTGAAGTATGAAGCAAAGTCCTTCATCATCTATAACATTTTAATAAAGTAAACACAAAATAAAATTAAGAACTTTCATTCTTTCTACTGAGAGTAAGAGACTTTACCCTTCCTTTTTAGAACTTTTGCTCTTAGAAAATGTGTAAGCTCTTCCCTTTGTCTTTGAAATGCATGCCAATATTTTGAAAGGCTGAATAAGTAACCCAGAGTCATATCTTCAGTCAAAAAGATGAGGAATGTGCTGGAATTGTAGTATGGTAGGTAGGACATTTCCCTTTTACCCTGCTGATCGGAGTTCGATCCCTGTATTTCCATATGGTCTCCTGAACCTGCCACACAGCTGGGTATGGCCCTTTTCTCTTGAGGACTATTAGAAAAACATTACTAAGTGAATTTAGGGTGAATTGTATGACATACGGTGTCTTCCAGCCCTTTTTTCTAGAGAACTAGTTATTTTTAATCTTGAGGGAACATACATAATTGGTTGTATGTTTAGTTCTATAAAAAACTAGATTTATTTTTGCAAATTCAGACTACTGCTTATGATTGTCACATTATACTTTAATGATTATTTAATCTCCCATGTAACCCAGGACTCCATGGGGATATTAGTCCTTTCTTTAGATGTCTTTTAGACATTTTTCTGAACTTTTTTTCCCAAATCTTGGTATCTAGAGTCCCTTCATCCGGGAACCATGGGTTTACCTCATAAGCTACTTTAAAGCAGGACCGGAGTTGGTCTCTGGAAATGCAGTGTTCTGGGTCCCCCTGTTCTGCGGGAGAGACACTGAATCAAATCCATATATGGCACGGCCTGTTCAGTCTGGCTTGAGAAACTGTGGAAGAAACTGGGAAGGCCCAGAGTCTGCCCCGTCTTAGTGGGGAATTGCTGCTAGGATTCTGACTCCCAGCACACTAAGAAATCCTGTTCTCCCATTCACTTTCTAGAGTGAGGGGTGCACCGAACACTATTCTTACCTTTAGTTGATAGTTTATGCTCGTTCCAGGGACGTCAGCTGTAATAACTCTTTGAGGGCTGCCAGGGGGGCCCCGACGGCTCTTCCCCTAGCCACCCGCGTTTGGGGTGGGCCTGAGCCGCTTCCACACCCAGGGTGACCCGGGCCGTAGGGCAGACAGTGGAGGAAGCGAGGGCCATGATAGTTGATTGATCAGATTCCATTTATTCCATTCTCCCCACACGCCTGCCCCAGTTGAGGAGGAGGAGGAGATTAGGGATGATATGGCCTCAGCTCCTCCCATACCTAAGTCTCGAAAGGGTTTTCATAGTAAAAATATTTCTGAGGTTGATGAATATAGCTCCACTTCCGGTACATCAGCTGAAAGTGATGCGGATTATGAGTCTGCTACTACTTCCTCAGATTCTGAGTCCAAGAGTGACTCAGCGAAGTGGCCTCCAGGCTGCTCAGGACATGCTCCCAATCGTCCAGTCGAGGCTGAGAAGCAGCAGCATCCATCTTATTGCAGGTTAAGAATAGATTCTCTCAGTCGTTTCAAAAAGGCCTGTGCCTCCTACGGGTCTACATCTCCGTATTGTAGGGAGTATCTTACAAACTGGAGTAAAAAGGCTTACTGGGTACCTCAAGATTTTTACGTGGTTGCTAAAACGTACTTAAGTCGTTCTCAGCACATACAGTGGAGGATGTGGTTCAGTGATGATGCCAAGGCAAAGCTTTATGGCCTAGGCTATGCTGGACGAAAATTTTCGGGATTAAGTTGATTTATGAAATGTTAATAGGTGAAGGGAAATGGCGAGACCCCACAAAGGCAAGTCACCTTGTCTTATGCTGTTTTTGCTCATGTCCATGACGCAGCCCTGTGTACATGGGAGAGGATTGAAGCAGATGCAGAATTTAAGGGAAGTTTTACAAAGATTGTCCAGAGGGCCTCAGAACCTTATGGAGACTTCATGGTAAGGTTGATGGAAGCCATTGAAATGCAGGTTAAGGGTAAGGAAATGCAGGAGCTGTTGATTAAGCAATTGGCCTTTGAAAAATGCTAATGAGGATTGCCAGGCTATTCTTCACCTATCAGAGAGAAGGAAGATATAATGGGGTATTTGAAACCATGCAGGAATGTTGGTTCTGTTAAAAATAAGGTGCAAATGAAGGCTTTGGAGGCCTACACTGTACAGAGACAAGCTCAGAAAAGATGTTTTAATTGTGGAAAATCAGGCCACTTTTGTAAAGACTGCAGGGCACTTCCCAAAAATGCTACTGTGAGAGCACCTCCTGGGGCCTGTTCCAGGTGTAAGAGGAGAAACCATTGGGCCAGAGACTGCAGAGCCAGACTTGCACCTCCTGGGCCCTGTCCCCGGTATAAAGAGGGGAAATCACTGGGCCAGAGATTGTCGCTTCAATTTTGATGCAGCTGTTGACCCCAATTTGGAAACCTGCAAGGGCACCAGCCCCAGGTCCCACAATGTCAGGGGATGTTCCCAGCTGTAGTCCCTCTCCACAGTGTGGCGTTTCAGAGCTCCAATCACGATAATCGCTGCAGCCAGTGACTGCAGGAAGCACAGTATTGGGTATTTCCTGCCCTGATACGGTTCCTATAACCCCTGCCCAGTGTTGCTACAAATTAAATTCTGGTATAAAGGGACCAATTCCACAAGGCACTATAGGCCTGCTGCTCTTAGGGAGAGGCAGTTTGACTTTTAAAGAGAACACTGTGACTTTAAGTCCACCACCTCTCCATATTCAGTGAATATATGGCATGTTAAATCAAAACAAAAACGGAGGTATTTTCTCAATTGAAGGTAGCAATAGCACAGCAGTAGGGCATTTGCCTTGCATGTGGCTGACTCGACCGACCCGGGTTCGATTCCTCCACCCTCTTGGAGAGCCCAGCAAGCTTCCGAGAGTATCTAGCCCACACAACAAAGCCTGACAAATTACCTGTGATGTATTCGATATGCCAAACACAGTAACAACAAATCTCACAATGGAGATGTTACTGGGCCCGCTTGAACAAATTGATGAACAAAGGGAGAACAGTCACAGTGACAGTGATTATTCAATAGTAAAACTGCTTTGTCCTCTACTTTTGTCAATTAACTGTGGTGACAGGAGTTTTATCAATTCTATTTCTTCAATAATTTACTCCAGTAAAATTTTCCTCACTGTCAAGGCATTTAACTCTAGGAAAGATCTTTGAGATATTTTTATTTTTATTTTTTTGGGAAAAGTTTGGAAAATTTTTTATTTTGGAAAAGTTTGACATTCAGGAAATTTTGTAAATGAGATGAATTAATGAACTAGAAAAATCTTAACAGAACATCTTAATGGGCATGTTCACTGCTTGCATATCTGTAGCACTGTAGTACTGTCCTCCCATTGTTCATCGATTTGCTTGAGTGGACACCAGTAATGTCTCCATTGTGAGACTTGTTGTTACTGTTTTTGGCATATGGAATACATCACAGAGAGCTTGCCAGGCTTTGCCGTGTGGGCAAGATACCCTCGGTAGCTTGCCGGGCTCTCCAAGAGGGGTGAAGGAATCGAACCTGGGTTGGCTGAGTGCAAGGCAAATGCTCTACCCGTTGTGCTATCACTTCAGATGGCTTGCAGATCTAAGGAATAAAAAATAAGATGAAAATTAAAACCAACCTGTTTTGTCCATTATTGATAGTCAAAACTATGTTATTTTATAAGGCAGGATGATTGCAATAAGTTTTTGGCATTGTCTTTCAAATTATCTGAAATCTTCTTTTCTGTATATAGAAATCTAGAATCATATCTAGAATAATGTCTTGCCATTTTGTGTGTGAAGAAATTGGTGCATATGTATATGAGTGAGAGTGGAGGATGATGGAAAAAAATTTAATCCAATTTAAAAGTCCTCATCTTAATAGCCTTCATATCTTTTACACTATTCAGAGGTGCAACAAGAATTAAAAACTAAGTCTTTAGCAAGCAAAATATAATGCACTGTGGAGCTTAGTTAATGAGTAGGTACCGTGTCTTCTTCATCTGTGTGAATTAAGATATTCCAGACCCAAGAGAAAATAACCTGGATGGGGACGCAGGGTGGCTTAACTGGTTTCAATATTGTTCAAAGGCTTATTTTTTAAGTTCAGAGCCAACTACATAGGTATGGAATTGGAGATCAATCTGCCTTTGTAATTAGAGAAAAGTCTGGAAATTGCCTCTTAGGTCAGGAAACTAGATGCAGAAGAAGTGACTGCAGCTCATGGAAAAATTATGACTATAAGATTGCAGGGCAGGGTAGTACATGCATAATAGAGGCACTTTTTTTTTTGTTCTGAAGACAACTTTGGGGGAAAAAACATTCCACAAATAAAAGCATAACACACATACATGCAAAGAATCCAAAATAGCAATTGTTGAGTTATATGTTTTCTCTTTAATCTCCTTAATGCTTATTACCCCAGTTCCATATACATATGAAAAATTATATGAACTGAATTGGAAAAAAAATGTTGGATAATTCTAAGATGATGGTTGTAATTAAGAGAATGGTTGAGCTGGAAATTGTGATTTCAACTTTTCTCACAGTGGAATGGTATTTCATGGTGTATATAGATCAAATTTCTTTCTTTTTTTTGCTTTTTGGGTCACATCTGGCGATGCTCAGGGGTTATTACTGGCTTTGTGCTCAGGAGTCACTCCTGACAGTGCTCGGGGGACCATATGGGATGCTGGGAATCGAACCCGGGTCGACCGTGTGCAAGGCAAACACCCTAACCTCTGTACTATTGCTCCTTGCTCTTGCCTCCTCCTCCTCTCTTTCTCTCTCTCTCTCTCTCAAGAAGAACACTTTAAGGCACATTTTAATATCACTTTATTTGTTATAGAACAATTTAAAACATTTTTGCTCTAAGATAAATAAGTAAACTGGCTAAGCAGCATATATTATCCATGTAAATGAATTGGTTATTAGATTCAATTTCTTTTCCAGTGGCACCAGGATATCCACAGTTTAAAGTTGCTACTGCGTGATGTAGGAAAAATGTTTTAATTTAGGGAGCATCTCATAACATCATTGTTTGTGATGGTTTTTAAAATCAAAATCACCTTTGTTTTCCTAACAATAGATAAAAGCAAAAAAGAAAGACAAGAAGGCTTTGAAATCGTTCAACAATGAGTTACAATACAGAATAATTATAGATATATATGGGTAAAGTTACTTCTAAGTCTGCCAAATATAGTTGCTACTTGAGATTGAGGAGTAATAAGTTAAAATTACATGATTTTTTAGGAGCCTCTTCCTGTTTGTCCCCAACATGGCGCCCAGCTTTCTCCTCTCCCAGTTCAGTCATTATTTAAACCAGGGACTCCGTTTCTCTGCACACTTGCCCCAGGTGACCTCTAGTACCCTGGACCACCCTCCATCCCTGAGCCTCTTCCTGTTTGTCCCCAACATGGTGTCAAGCTTTCTCCTCCCCCAGGTTGTACCCTCCCCCGCCAACCAGGTACCCGTAGGGGCCGTGGCTTCTTCAGAAATGGGTGTGCATCTGCAGAAGTGGGTGTGGCCTAATTTTGGGTCAACAGACTCTCACGCAGCAGGTAATTACTGGTACCCAGCAATCTTGTGTAACATCTTAGGCTCCATACTACACCAACATGAAGAAACAATGCAAATCCCCACAATGAGGAGATGATGACAGAAAGAGACCAGAAGCCTCATTAGGTGTTACTCACCTTCTCTGATAAAGATATAAAGTAATGAAGATGGTCAATGAACTCAATGAAACAGTGAGACAGATATCCAGTAAATTAAAGGAGTACATGAAAGAAACAATCGAGAAAATACAGGAAGAAATGAGAGCAGAAATTGGAAAGCTACACACAGAAATGTCACAAATAAATTTGGTAGATGAAATAAAAAACTCAGTCTGTGCCCTCAAAAGTAGAATGGCTATAGCTGAAGACAGAATCATTGAGCTGGAAGATGAACTGCAGGAAGCCTACAGGCAACAACAAACAATGGCAAGAGACCTCAAAATAGCCCTAGAGTGAATCAGAGTCCTAAGGGATGATTCCAAGAGGAACAGCATTAGAATCATTGGAGTAACGGAAAGTCAGGGAAACAGTCCCAATGAAAAAGCCATGGTTAAACAAATAATTGCTGAAAAATTCCCAGAGCTGGACAATGCAGGCATCCAGATTCAAGGAGCCCGAAGGGTGACAGCTAAAAGAGACCCTACCAAAAACACTGCAAGACCTATCATAGTTAGAATGATGAATTCCATGGATAGAAACTCCATACTGTAAGCAGCAAAGTCAAAGAAGGAAATCACATACAAAGGAGCACCCCTTAGATTCACAGCAGACCTATCAGAGGAAATCCTCCAAGCCTGAAGGCAACGGTGGGATATAGTGAAAAAACTCACTGTGATGAACACTTCACCAAGAATACTTTATCCGGCTAAACTCTCACTCAAACTTGAAGGAATGGTACACTATTTTGTGGCTAAACAACAACTCAGGAACTTCATAGACTCAAAAGCAAACCTAAAAAAAGGGCTAAAGGGGCTACTGTAAGACAAGACAAACCGCTACAAGCACAACAAATCCTTACAGAAAGATGACAGATGGATTCAGAGACAGAACCCAACATTCTGCTGCCTACACGAAACACATCTGAACAATCAGAAGAAACACAGACTCAAAGTCAAAGAATGAAAAACAACCCTGAAAGCAAACAACCCCCTCAAAAAAGCCAGAGTGACCTTACTAGTATTGGACAACATAGACTTTAGGTTGAAAAAGATTAGAAGAGACAGTGAAGGCTATTTTTATTAATCAAGGGATATGCACAACAAGAAGAAATCACACTCCTAAAGGTATAAGCACCCAATTAGGGACCAGCCAAATACCTACAACTGCTAACAGACCTTAAGAAGGACATTACAAGCAACACAATAGTGGTTGGAGACTTCAACACTGCCTTATCACCCCTGGATAGATCAAGAAGATTAAAACTCAGTAAGGAAATATTGGCTCTGAAGGAAGAAATAGAATTTAGAGAACTAATAGATATATACAGGACTCTATAACGCCCC